CAATCAAAAGTATGTAATACAGTCCTACTGAAGGTCAGTCGTGAGCTTGATAGCTCAATGGTAACATCTCTGACTGCAGCACCGGGTGAAACGGGTTCAAATCTCTGAAGGGATGTGATTTCCTTCAAGATTGCAGATACGCCTTATTGACAAGTGCCACCAAGCACGAAACCAAGACCCAAAGCTTCTTGTCGATTGCCTCCAACCATCTAATAACAAAGTTAAGATATGTAATCTTTCATACCGACGCATGTATATAATTATGGACACAAATTTAATTGGGAAAATGAAGACATCTTAAATAGAGGAAACACTAAAAATGCCAGGGAATTTCTAGAGCCTGATACTCAGAAGAATAAACGAATAACAGACACATTACTACAGACCAAATTCAGCAATTATTAAGAAACAAATCACATGACAAGAAAGTTCAAATTCCAAGTCAATAAAAGTGATCATCAGAGAAGTAAATTAACAACTAATCAGGATAATGTTTGTCAAAAGATAGAATTATATCATTCATTGAGAATTCAAATAACTTCATTTCATACGAAGACCTGAGCTGAAGTATGTTGTTCATATGGACAACGAAAGCTTCTCACAATTAAATCAACCAGCTTAGAGAACACAAGTAAATCAAAGAGCGGTAATTACTTGGCAACCTAAATTTTTTATTTTTGATCATTGAAGAGTGATTAAAAATGATCATGAAGTTAAAAGGTGATCAGTTCACCACATTTTTAAACTTTATCAAATACCCTACAACCAAATTTGTTTATTCATAAGATTACTTGGCAGAATATTTAACAAGAGAAAGTCGTTCTGTATTCACAATCTTTTACGGCATTTATTACGACCATACATCCAATAAATATGACACTGATAACACATGTACTTATGGAAAACTATCAAATAAACCTCATTTCTTGAAATAAATATTCTATAAGATTATACAAGAGACACATTTTTAAGCCTTTTTTTATTATCCTTCTGTATGGTGTAAAAATTCACATCTAGGTCCACTATATTTCTACATTTAGTTTATCTGAGAGCTCTTTTTTCTATCTAATACGTTTATTTTTTTTAAACCTTAAAAAGCACCTGGCTTATTTATGTGCCAAGAAAATGATAGCTGAAGTGAAATCAGTCTTGTTTGTTATTGATATAGTTAAAAAAATATCAAAGTTCAAGTAACTATTTTTTTAAAAACTCAGTTGGCTTAGTTAGGAGAACAAGATTTCGCATTAACATTATATTCTTGAATCGACTAATAACTGCACGATGCTACATACTGTTGATCGATTGACAAGAGTAATCGAATGCCACTCCATCGACCAGTAGTGCTTGCTAGCCAGATTGGAGTGATATAAATAGAGGACGACCGTTCCGCTCGTCATTGACTGTGTGATGTGTCTGATTCAGCTTAGAGGCAGAATCAGTTCAAACCACCCTAATTCTGTCTAGTTGTAATGACCGAAACCGACTTATTGTGGTCGGAACGCTTTCTACAGCATATCTGATCAAAACTCCCTTGAGTCAGACACAGTCACAAAGCTCTCTAAAGACAGGAAAAAGGCGGTTATTCGCTATGAAATCTGTGGTTCTCAACAGTTCCGTCAGACAGCTATATAGGGTGGATAAGGTTCTGGTACAAAACAAGTTCCTAGAATCTGGTAGAATATCCCTATTTCAGCAGTTATCACACACCAAAGCTTCCCGAGGACAGTTAAAAGTAAGAATAACCTCGATCCACTCAAACAAAATCACATCGTAAAACACAACCACAAAAAAAGCATTAAAACTAAAGACTGAAAAAGACCAAAGACAAATAGCAAGGACCAGGTCAACATACGATACGCAAATGTCATAACAAGGTTATACAGACTAGGAGAAAAACGGACAATAATTACGAAGTTTAAATACCAAAATAAGTACGATAAATGTTGTAATTAGACAGTTCAGGTAGGATTTTCAAACAATTATTTCGTTGAATTTGAGATTTTCCAGTCGATTGATTGGACCGATGTGCTCGGTCTCAGGTTGACATATCGACTTCTTGTGCAGATGCTTCGACAATTTCTGGGCATTTAGTTGGTATTTAATTGGTGGATGGTGACATGTCAACCTGAGACCGAGCACTCCGGTCCAATCAAAAGACGGGAAAATCTCAAATTCAATTAAATTAATATGACCCGTTGCGCAAGAGGTGGCTCTTGTGGCTCAAGTGATCTAGTGGATAACGCTTCGGCGTTTGAAACTATGGGTACTGGGCTCGAGCCTCGGTGGGAGCATCATCACTCACTGGGAAATGCAGGTACGCCAGTTGACGAGTCCCGAATAAGACGAAGAGCGCATCGTGAATTCCACTGCTAGTCACCATCCACCATTAAATTATTTCATTGCACTAGCTACCTTGTTAAACTAGTAATACGTTGAGCGAAATCGCAATTTCCAATATCAGTGGTGTCCAACTACTCTGGGGGTGAAATTTCACCTCGAATTGTGTCAACTGCAAATCTTGAATTTATTTGTGAATTAAGAATCTGATTATTATTATCATTATTGTTTTAAACTGTATATAAGCACGTACACTGTACTTAGTAAACTTTAATGAGAGATGAAGTGACCCTAAATCACTACTTTTTTAGATGACAGTTGAAACCGACGAAATTGTGGTATAACTTCCTTGAAATAAGGAAAGTCATACATAGATCTTAAGATGAATTATTTGGAAAACTTTCACCATGATTTAATGAAAAATTTTCATTAGGGTGGAGAGAATATCAATACAAACTTTTAGCGAAGGTTTTTTTTTCAACGAATTTATTGTCAAGTTGTACGATCGTACACATTTCATCTATACATGATTATGCTGCCAATATCCTTAAAAGAAGGATCTCACAGCCCTTGAAAAGGACATTCTCTTCACTGTTGTTTAGAATAGTGTTTTTTTCAGTCAGTCATGACTACTCAATAGTCTGAAGGAAAGATCCTGCAGCTGAACAACCCTGTTAGTTGATTAGTTCATCTGCTTCTGTGAAACTACGTGTACTGGTAGTTCGATGTGAATCTTGTCCAGAAGCTTGCAAGAACACTATCCTGTGAGGTTACGAAGGCTTTGGAGTGGAGCTTTAAGAATACCTTTTCGACACTGATCACCTTATATCTGTAACCTCTTCCTTTAAAGTTATTTATAAGTCGATAAATTGCCGGCCGAAATCACCACGGGTCCGACTCATCTGTATTACGAAAACTTTGGCCATCGAAATAGAAAAGCCAAAGCTCTGTGTCGAGAAAAAAGGTTATTGGACCATTCCTTCTTTTAATGTCCTAGTCCGTATGTGTCAAAATATTATAGCATCTATTTCTACCTTCGCCCCATTTCTTTTTCCTTTCGTTTATTCAACCTATCTTTTCACTGTCTACAAGTCCTCGTATTATTCTACTTGTCACTCTTAATTTATTTAATTCAATATGTTGTCTTATCAAAACTCTCACCTTCTTGTGTATTGTTTTGATTGCCCATAAATTTTATTATTTCTACACCCAGTTTTAAACGATTTATCTTAATTTACCAAATAAAACGTTGAAAATGAGCTGAGGTAGCTGTCTCCAATGTTAGCTTGTGCGTTTTTCTATATTTCTTCTTTGCAACAAACAGTCTACCTGCTAGAAGTGAAGTTTAGATTCAAATGAGACAATGATCATTTCACCGTCAGCATTTTTCGTGCTAAAACTTGTGTTATGAGCTCACACACAGACTTTTGATTACGTCATTAGTCATAAAATGAAGTGATATTGAAAAATCACATATTCTTTATTATCTGTGTGCATATGTGGATATGTTATAAAGTTGATTTTTATTTCCATCCTAAGATATAAAATATTGAAACTAAAAAAAGCTCTCATGGTAAATATACAGTAAAATTTGGAAGAGCAACAGAGAGATTGTAGATATCAAAGCTTACTGAAACAATGTAACAGACTCCTTTAAACAATCTTACAATAACATTTCATGGAAGTTTCTATTCAGACATGGAGTTTTTCAGTGAAAAGACTAATAATTCATATTTTACTGAGCTTGTCGACAAGAATCATTGTTTTTCAGAATGTAAACAAGTAAAAAAGAATAACTGTACACAGAAAAATTTCTATACTTGAACGGTACACGTGAACAGTTTAATCTTAAGCAATTAATTGACAACTGCTCACAAAAGAGATGAAAACAAGTGAACTATTTTAATGTTGCAAACTTATTATCAGGGAATACTTGGCATCATTACACGAGACTATGTACTACTGGTTGACCAATATGAGTAGTTAGATACCACACACATCAAAGCTTAGTGCTTGCTAACCAAATAGAAGTGATCCAACCATAGGACGGTTGTTTTGCTGGTTTGAGGCCAAATTTTTCAGTGGTGTATGTGGTTAGACTCAGCCCCCAGAGCCAAATTAATTCAGACCACTGAATGAGCTCGGCACCAAAAAAAACAGTGAAACCGCCGTACGCTGTTTGGATCTAGATAGTATGCACTGCTGGTTAACCTGGGTATAGTAGTATACAACGTCATGATTCTACACTTGCAATCTTGACTACGATTCATACCGTCAAATAGATTACATATTGCTTTCTGAATAGTTTCGGCTTTCAAAAGAAACTATGGTGATGTTTTACCTCGAATTTTGAAAATTACAATTGCTAATGAATTCGCAGGTTGCAAATTTGATCCAATATATGTCATAGTCCGTTTTTAAGCCTTCTCAGAATTATCATCTGTCTAGCTTCACAGAAAGAACATCCCAGAGCTGTGTATCCTTTGACTGCCTCTCTGACAATAGACCTTTTCTAGAAAATTCTACTAATTGTTATTGACAAAAAATATACTGATATAGGTGTGACTTTTACCCTGTCAGCAAACAATCCTTGCAATAACTAATTAGATACAACAATAGGCGATCAGAGAAGGCACAGTAAAATAAGGTGTAAAATTACTCACCGTCGGAACCATACAACCACTTTCACCTTGTAGACTTGGACGATTTTCATGCGGATAATGATGTACATAACATAACCATATCATTCGTTCATCAGGCATCTTGGCAAGAAGACTGATTTCTTTCACTGATTCACATGATTCCTAAATATTTGTCAAACATAAAATATCTTAGTCACATTACATTTTAGCATACACTGAATTAAAGACTTAAAGCTAAAATTAGCTAATATTGTTTCATCGCTCAAGTGACTAATGTAAACATACCGTAATTAGAAATTCTTGATTAAAGAAAAATTAAATATTAGGATGCATCAGTTTATATAGAAATTAAAGGACTCAAAATGTTTATGATAGGAGTGTTTCCTGATGCGAAATTGGATAGATCAGAGTTTCAGTGACATTTCTTCCTCTATTGGAAAATCTACTTCAGGCTGCAAGGTGATCACGTTTACACGTGTAGCCAATGAGTTAGTATTCAGCAACCCGTTAATTTTAACCTGTAATTATTCGCCATCCAATGAAATTGATTAGAATGACCTATATAACTAGCATCGCAGGAGCAGTTGAATTTATATACACACATAGATGTCGCAATTTTGGACCTCTTGTAGAAACTGTCGACTACATATGCGAGCAACTCGTAGAAAAGAAAACAGAAATTGCAATTACACCAAGAAAATTGAAAGATTTACTACTAAAATGCACTGTGAACGTTCAGTTTGTATTTAATAAGGAGTATTACCGTCAAATAGCTGGGGTTGCTCACACCAATCTCATTGCTTCACAATTGGGTTACCCTCGAGGACCCATCTTGGGTGTGATGTAATTTGAATTTTTCCTCAGTATATGTCGAATCTATCACCGTTTCCATCCTACATATTTTTTTGGTTAATTGGTCGCTGGCTGATTGACTGCCTCCCTGAGTTCCTAGTCACTCATCCTTTTAGTCTTCTGGTCTTCATTATGGAACAAAGACATCTGTTGATGAAAGTCTTAAGCCGGCTGGCAATGCTTTCATGACTCACTCACCGAATCTGTAAACCATACAGAAGAACTTACTTGACATTAGTGCTGAAAATTCGAATCTCGTTCTTTGTGTTTTGTTCTGTGAATGTCCACACTAACTGTATAGTAATGCTGGTGTGTCTCACTTTTCCGATTCTGGCTTTGACATCCTCATCCATGTCATTTTTAGTTGCATTGATACTGCCTAGGTAAGTATCATCATCCTAATTAGACACAGCCTATTCCCTGATTGTGTAATTGGCAATCCAAAAATATCAATCCCTCTTCTATTACCGTAACAAGACCATGTGTCAAATAGTACAGATTCCCTCCATTGTTTACGAAACTGTACTGAATGATCATAAAGCTTAATGAAAAACTCAGACTCCTAAAGAGGGTAGTCACATAAAATTCAAAACCTCTTCAGTGATTTGACTAACCAAAGGGTTTTAGAATCAGGAAAACATACAACAACCAAATATATCTGTTTTGATCATGATTTAACTTTCTGAAGTTATTCTCTAACTGTCTCAGTGGACAGAATATCTGAAATTTTCTAGTTCTACCATAAACCAGAAAACCACTGATGAAGTTCTCTCAGAGTAACTTAAAACTCGAGGATTCTATTGCATCCCTGCAGTTTTTTTATTCCTTTATCTTCTCTATGGAACATAGGGTTTCAAGCTGAAGCTTTGAAGTTTCGATAATAGTGTTTACTTTTACGGGATGGGGTTGCTAACCGCATGCCTCTTCATCGGTCTTATTATTGGCATAGCGAGATTATGGAATGCGATGGCCGACCACCTGTGTGATGGTCAGCCATCATTCTAACGCTAAGCCACTGGCAGGTTTATGTGCATTTTAAAATGGATGCATAGCGTTAAACCTTCAATTAACTAAACTGGATAGAGAAAGTAACTAATTATTTGTTTTTAATTTAGGCGAAAACGTTGGAAACATAGTCGCAAAATAAGAGATTTAATGAATGACACTTGTCTGTCATATTTTTGTCTGTAGAAAATATAATGTTGTTCTTTGTCTACCAAATCTATTTTTCTCTTCTTTCGCTTCATTTGCTGGTCTTTTTTTCTGCCAATTCTCTCGTCATCTTTGTCATAAAAGGTTTCCAAACTCAGCAAGATAAAAAGTTTCCCTTTTCCTTCGGATTCATCTAAATTTTGATGACCAATTAAACATTATTCTACCAAGAAAAAACACATTTCCGTTTTATATTTGTACGCTGGTGGTAGCTGTATTTTTTAACCTTAAATTCATAGGCACTATTATTAATTAGTAACACAGACAAATTATCAGAGGCTAATAGCTGTCAACTGTGATTTGTTTTACAGTTAAAGAGACGTGCACTCTAATTTTAACACATTACTGATGCTTCTCTTTATATAGCTATCTGTGTGCACTACTCGCTGTCTAGCAAGGTAAACATTAGTGACGATTATTTCATAAATCCTTAATATGATGTCAGAATGAATTATCAAAGTAAAAATGATCAGTATCTAAAGATATCATTCACTTATACGTCGGATCCATTCATATGAAGTGTTTGCTTATAAGCATTTTATTGTCTGGATAACTCAACTTTGGTGGCGCTTATTTCATACAGCGATTGGGCATTTTTGACTTGAATAAACGTCTGCCTAGAACAATTTCCAGCTTCAAATCTTATTGATTTGTGAATAGAGAGGACTTGTAGGTCACATGCTGACTTTATCACTTAAGCTATTATCAGTTTACAGAGAGGGAATGTCACACATGAAATTGAATTGCTGAATTAAAGAAATCATTATTTGTGCAAGGTAGAACGAATATAATTATGAAGAATACAAGCTTCTCTTTGTTGATGAGTATGTTTATCAGTTAGCTGAGAGAATTCCTGAGAGAATCTTCTAACGACCAGACGATATGCGGTTACACTGTAAACCTCAATCATACACACAACTTAAAACAGGCCGACTATGTGGGACCTAACCTCCTGGAAGTAATGCCAACAAATCGATACTCTAAAATCAAGTAAATTTCATTTACACAACACCACGATTACACTCAGTCTCATTAGGATGATAAAATTCAAGCTAAGACGGTGAAACAGTTGATAAGGAAATCCCCTTCATCTTCAAACCAATAACATCTCAGGCTGGTTTAGATTCCAAGGGAACTTTAACGAAGTCACACGATGTAAATTTATAATAAAACCTCGCCGCTTACAGGACACTAAAATGTAATACACCAAGTGGTTGTTTTCATGAGTATACTCCCATATCTTCCTACTTTCAGAAGAAAATAATACTCAATACTAAATAGTTCTTGATCTCTAATAGGTCACATTTTATTTGTTTATTGGTTAACTTGCTTTTTTTATAGCTTACATTAAACCAAAGTTTTCTGATCTTCGTTGACATGTTGATTCTTGGTAATAGTGTTCTTAGCGAGGATGCAGGCACATTCGGTTTATGAAGTCTAGATAAAGCAAAATGCTCATCCTGGATTCCACTGCCAATGATAGCTAAGAAAAGTGACATATTTTACACCTCTAGCAACTATTTAGATTTACAAATGATCCTGTTTCTCTTCCTAATGAGGAAGCAGACTGTTCATTACAGCATTTAGGCAGTAAAACAAGAATTGTACAATCTGTCTGACGAATGGTTTCCTGAATTCCTGGTGTTTGACAATTACTTCGCTGTCAAATAGCATTTTTAATTTGGGAATTTCGAAAATTTCATCTCTTTTAGAGGAATTAATTCCTTGTGTAAATTCAACTAAGAAAAAGACGAAAGAAAAATTTGAGCGAACTTACTGAATCACGACATTCTGAGAGAGATTTCTTTGATGGTGGTAAGGTATATTCATCCAGTTGCTTTAAGGATGTCATATGTAGTTTCAGCAGTGTTCCTCTAAAACAATTTAGGGAAAGCAAAGGAGGGAAATTCAGTTAGCTTCATGAACTTGTATAATGAATAACATTTTTCTACAAATTAAATTTGACTGAAATTACGAGTAGCTTTTAAATTTTATTTAACTTAGTGTGCAAATACAGTAATTCTGTAAATATGCTACTGTTGTGGAACTAGTGTGTAACGTTAGGCTTAGATGTCAAATTTCACAAATTTAGATAATAATTTTAAACTTAAGGGGTAAACGTTTATCAATTTCAAAAAGCTTCATGTATGCAGTGTGGGATAAATAATATTTATACCTGTTCTTAGAGAGTTTGTGAGCATTTTGAATATTTATGAATAGATTTTCCTGCAGACGGAAACATTTCCATGTGTTTAAGTAGGTTTGAAATATTTCCGTATTATATTTAGATAAAATGCACTTTTCTAGGATCATTGAGATACTTTCATATTTGTAATGTTTAGTTGATTGAAATCCAACAAGCTTTTGACATTCTGTGATTTAATTAATTCTGTTCCAGGTAATAAAAAGCTCTTATAATTTCTAAGAGACCGAATATATTAAAACATTTATGCGTAGATGTCAGTTATTTAGAATAATTGCAGCAAACGTTATTTTGTTTGCAAAGGACGTAATATTAAATAATCATCCTGGTATGTCACAAAACTCTGTAAGGTCGTACAGACAATGTTTTCTGAACTCATGCATTTTACATAAAAAAAGGTTGACAGACATGTAATTTTAGCGACTGGCTTTCAAAACATCCGAGTCAAGTTAAAGAGTCCATATGTTTTCTGAAACAGTCTATTCAAACTAAAAACAAACCAAGTTCGAATCAATAATAGCAAACTAAAGAAATGCAATATAATAAAACAAGTGAGGTATTTCAAGCTGATTCAAGCACAGATATCTTAAAACATACAGTAATTGTCTATTTTGAGAAGCACGAAAAGTGGACGAACAATTGGACCTTAACCTTACTGGGTGATCAAACTGTCCTTCAGATATTGGGGCCGAATCCAATAGCCCATGAATTCTCATTTTTTCAGTCAATACCTGATAATAAACATTACCTCCAGACAATGTTACTGTCTATATTGGAATGTTTATCCAGATGATACCACTTCTTGATGAAATGTAGGAAATAAGTAGGACTGAAAAGTCGGATTGTTGCCGATAAACATATCAAGAATAACAATATTAATCAACATACATTTTGTATTCGATTCTGTCTATCGATACAGCTAAAATTCTCCTGTAGAAAACTCTGTTTATCTTTTCGGTAAAGAACACTGAAACCCGCACTAAGACAGACATCAAGAGCCTAATCCGATAAACAAGAATAAAGTTAGTTAAACAAACATAACATGATCTGTAAATTTTTAACAAGTCTAATTTAAATTTGATTACAATAAGTGTAAGTGTGCCTTTTCGGAATTCGCCAGTTAATTCGCGATTGGCAATTACCAATCCTCCAATGTGTCTCACTAGAATTCAAGTAGCTTGAATTAATTCCGATCTCTGGGCTGAGTCATACCGGTGACATTGCTGATCAGCTGAATGGTTGTCCAATGTTTAGATCAGTTCAACTTGGCCAGCAAGTACTATTAGCCGATGTGAGTGGTAGTGGTATCCAACTGGTCATATCAATCAAGCAGTGGTGTATGAGGTGATGCGTTAGTATGCCGCCTTCTTTACTAATTAGTCACTTTCATTTTGTTGCCTTATTTTTTGTCTAGGAAATTTCCCGTACTATGAAGAAAAAAGTTGTGTCATTAGTGTAACAATAATCTGAATAGTGTAAACTGCAAAGTCCCTACTTCTGTTGGCATAGTGACCGTGTCAGGTAAATGTTGCTGAGCTATCCTACAGCATCTTTCATCTTATCCAAGTCTGCTTGAATTCTCTAACTATATTGTGCACAGTTTAGGTTTTATAATATCAGTTCATTGGAAGTACCTTGTTCACTTATTCACAATTAATGTATTTTTCTCTATCATCCAATATGAAATTCGCTACGATTATAATTAAATTTACAGAGAATAAAAGATCTGTAGAGAATGGAAATTTTAAAATTTTAAAATTATGAACAATCACGTCTAATTTGACTTTCTCAGTAGTCTTAATTCAATATTAAACTGTGCAATCAAGTTGTATCAGTGTGTGAAAACCGTAAGCTGATAATTCTTTTCTGAGTTTAAGTGTCAGCAGCTCGACACCGATAACTGCTACCTGGACATGGTTGTTGGGCTTGCATACCGCAATGATACAACAAGCTACACTGGCTGGAACTATTGTTCCTGCAGGTCACAACATGCCAGAAAAGTTGTTAGGTTGGTGATTAGACTAAAAACATTTACCGGTGTAGTGTAAGATTTTGTTACACTATGTCAGAGATTTGTGGGCTAAGTCCTACTGCTGGGAAACAGGGATATAACAGCAATGAGGTGCTTCCCTCAGATGACCAGCATACTAACTATGCTGTCTCTTCACTTTAGAGAGAGGAGATTAGGAATGGTCGAACTCAAAAATTGTACATCCCAACTTATTCTACGGTTGTCTGTAACCGGCGGTAAGTTACTAATACTGAACCAAACCTAAAATCCAGTCCAAACAAGCCTTATGTGACCAGTCTCAAGCAGCTGTCCCCTGGGCTCTGCGGTAGAGCAGCACTAATTCTCCTTCTGTTTCAGATATCCTAAGTAAAAATCAACTTCCGCGATGTGGGCAGCCGGAAAGTAACAACCACCTACACACCTCGAAAAGCATACGAAAGTGTCAACATACTTCCTGTTACATAAATTGTTAGTTTTTATGTTGCAACTTTATTTTATCATTATCTCAAGTTCATAATTTATGAGAATCATGAACCACTGTCAATATTCATTGTTCTTCGTCTGAAAAGAGTTTCATTCTCACATGAATTATCCGGAGTTGTAATCTTCAATATAATTATTCAGAATTAACTCAAACAAGCTGAATCTGTGTTCAAAGGAGATTGGTACAAGTTTATTCTTTGTTTCTACAGTCTAACAAACTGTTAATATTATGACAAGTGAGTTATTTCTTTTAATTTCACTTTTTCAGTGACAGCTTACTTTATTAAAGTTGCCTAGATGGGTGGTAGCAGTTACTGTTTTTTAACACACTCTGACGCATAGCAGAGTCAATAACTGTGAATGTCAGTTGTTGGTCAAAAGTGAGATTTAATCTTTGAAGCATATTGAAAGATTATAACATAAGACCATTTTTTAGCATAATGAAATGAACTAGTGGAGAGATGAAGTCACCTGTATTGCGATTTCTGGTACAAGATTTATTATTCCTGCCTTCAAAAATCAAGGAGCAGTAACGTTGATTGCTTTCAACTTGTCAACTTGTATAAAAATCACTTTGACTCTTTCTAACCTACTGTAAGTGATTTATTTCTTTTAGAAAATATTCATTCGTATATATTTTATGACCAGGCAACAATATGTTATGCAACTGTCTATGTTGGTCACTTATTCACGTAATAAATATTAAGGAATGTGTTCTTCTCAGCGGCTTGGAAACATTCTGTTGGTTCTAACAATGTATTTACCCTTGCAAATGCAAGTGAAATTGCAGATAGACTGTGAAAGAGAGTCTTCCAATAATGAACGCAGGAAGTTAAAATATTCCAGGAGTAAGCAAAAGGGATGAAATGTAGAATATGTGGTAGAAAGCAGATTGAAGTCCTTGAGCTGCCAGTTGCATATCTGGACTACTCTTGAAAAGTGTCTCAATGAAAATAGCTTTCTTTGTTACGTACACTGTCTTTTCAAAGGGTAGTTCGTCTGTATTGTGAAATACGACGAAGTTTTCAGAATACTGGTAAGCCAGTAAAACTGGCTGTATGCACCAGACTGGTTAATTATTCACGCAGAATATCAAAATACACTTAATGTGAATAGATATCAATTAGCTTCCGTTGGAAGATATTAATGTCTAATCACAAAATCAATACTCATGACTGTTTCACATCCCTGTTTCATGGAAATTTAGTCCCAAGTTATTAAAAGTGATGGGGAGCAGTTTCGATATTAAGTGAAATTTTACATCAAACTACAAAAATCATTGTCTCAATGAATTTTAGAACTTAATAAGACCCAATGTTAATCTACAACTTTAGATTTATATAAACTAGATCATAATATTGAAAAGTATTCACACATAATTTCACTACATACTAAATTTCCATTTTTAAGTAGTTGTAAATGTTTATAATTTCACAAATGAACATTAACGTGGAGGTGTATGCTATAATGAGTATCAAAATGAGGGAGATATTCAGAAGGAGAGATTGGTGGTCACCTTTTGCGCAACTTCAAACGTGACATGTTACTAACAGGATAGGCCTCTGAGACACCACACACTCTAGACAGACTACATTTTCTGAATTAACAAATTTCTAACTCCTCTCTTAATAAATTTAAAGTGTTTTGGCTTTCATTAGGTGTTAGACTATAAAATAATATATGTTCACTGAGGATGTATGCCTGAGTTAATCCAGTATAATACTTATCAATGTGTTCAATAAGTTTACTTGTTCAATAAGCAAATTATAAGTGTAGTTATTTCGATGATTAATATAAAAACAATAATCCAGTCTATACCACTCTAAAAGTAGTACTAATTATTGTTCCAAAGTAATAGTTTAGTAAATCAAACACTATTGTCAAGTATACATAAGTGGACAAAGTTCAAATCATAATTTTTAAAAAATCAGAATAATTTGTTGCTTTAATTATATGTTATGTAAATATCTAACGTGATAACTCATCAACACAATACTGTCTACCATGCAGCGAAAGCGTAAACGTGTTTAATACATACGCCAGAGGTTTCTATCAAAGTGATTATGAAAGAAAAGACTCTGAAAATTGTCCAATATTCCCTAACTTTCATATTTCATCGTAGGCATTCCATCACCAGACATGGTGATTTCTTCTCTTCTTCTTAGTGAAGTTATTAC